AATCTTCAGGCTGGGACAACAGCTACAAGCTGGGATAGTGGTTGTCCCAGCGTGAAGCGGTTATCCCAGCCTGGAGCTATAGCTGTTGTCCCAGCTTATAGCTGTTGTCGCAGCCTGTAGTGGTTGTCCCAGCCTGAAGCGGTTATCCCAGCCTGTAGCTGTAGCTGTTGTCTAAGCCTGTAGCTGTAGCTTGTAGCTGTTGTCCTAGCCTGAAGCGGTTGTCCAAGCTCTCAGCTTGGAGCGGTTGATTGGTTGATTGGTATGTTCTACCACATCCTCTATAACTGCACATGCACAACCAGCTTGCCAAATAATCGTAGATTCCACCATAATCCTCTGGAGGGCATTCCTAGGAATTCATTGAAGTTTTGTAAAATGTCTTACTAGCTTTTTATGAATCTGGTGTTAAATCATCTAGCCCTCTTGGTACACTTCAAACCATAACCAGAAGTGATGGTTCAAAGTACGTGAAAGGATTTCCTTTGAACCAATCCTTACTAATTACTAGTGCATGCTTTAACACACCAAAAGCACTTCAAGAAGGCCTCTTAATTGCAGAATCAGCTTTTGTACTCTTTGCCCCTATTCAAAAGAGCCAAAGTAAATTGCACGAGCCACCCCCAGACCCCTTCTATGTTTAAATCGTGAGGTGACCTCACGAATACCGGTGTTACCTGGTACCACAAACCAGTTTCAGCGAAGTACATAGCGGTACCGTTCTATCTCTAGAAGCGTCCTCGAGAAAAAGTCCAAGGACCACAACCGATAGCATCATAAAAGAGGACCTTTTGGACTCTTGATCCTCTTGAAAGAGAAGCCAATCAGTGTGATTTCCCGTGTGATTTCCCTACTATCTACTAGCTGAAAGAACAAAACAACTCTCTCCCACAGTGTAGTGTGACAGAGATTCACGGTTTCGGCTGAAAGCAGTAGCTCCATACACTTGGCGGATCTGTTCCCCATCTTCTCATCCCAGAGCAAAATGTCAACCCACAGTGCTGGAATCAGACATCCCGAGGGATCTGATACAGAGCATGACTCTGAACCTGATGCAGAGACTGCGACAGCCACGAATGATGGAGAGCTGAGTGATAGTGCCATGGCAGGTGATGACAACAGTCAACAACAGCAACAACCAGCTTCCTCTACGGATCATGACAGTGAGCAGCTTGACAGTGATGGAGAGCCAAGTGATGATGGTGAACCCTCCGACATTACATCTGATACCGGTACTGACATACACCAGCAGCTTGACAGTGATGGAGTGCCAAGTGATGATGGCGAACTCTCCGACATCACATCTGATACCGGTACTGACATACACCAGCATCAGCACCAGCAATCTGCATCTTTTAGGGGTCATGACAGCGGTACCACAGAGGCACTCAACCGTGCCACACAGCAACTCGCCAGTCAACATGACTCTGCAAGAATGCAAATTACTCCTGAGGAGCGACAACATGCTTTAGCCATCAAGTGTGTCATTGAAGGCACCCCAGATCTTGACAATTTATCGGACATGATGTATGCTCAGTTGGCTATTGTTGGACAGGGCGACCTTGAATGGGCGATGGAAAAAGCCTATCAGTTGCAAGAGTGCAAGAAAGAGTATGGTATTCTAGACATTGTGGAGGACTCATTAAGGCATATTCCAGATCTAGTCAAAGACAGGTTTCTTCTCTCTGTTGATTTTGATCTGAGAGGTGGGGGCTACATTATGGCATTCGATGCTCCAAAATTTGACATGAACCTCTTCAAATCCCCTGATGCCATGCGTGTGGTCATGCAGAAAGTCTACTATTTGTCACAGCTGATGTGTATTGACTTGGAGGCCGTCCAAGCTGGCACAATAGATTTAATGGAATGCGAGGGATACACACTTCGGATTGGCTGGATGTTTGAATTGAATGTCTTTCAAACCATAGGAAGGGGTGGATGGAGTGTGTATCCAAAGAAGGTCCGTGCTGTCAAGATGTTCAACACATCACCACTTTTTGTAAGTGTCAGAGGCTTCAGCAGTTCTGGATGTTCTGGATGTTGGAGATCTTCTCCTGTTTCTGTCAAGTGCTCATTGTCAGATTTTCTTTGACCTCTATTGATGTCAAATTTGATGATTTCTACAATGAAATCTGTCTTTCCTGAGGAACTCAGGTCAAAGTTTCGAGTGGGGTGCAAATTTCCTGGAGGCAGGCTGGACAGGATGTACAATGTACCAAGTGAAGAAGTAGCTGTAGCCAGGCTTTGCCAGAAGTTGGAAGAACTGATCAGAAGGAAATTTGACAATGAAAGGAATTTTTCATTGGAGGATGCCCCTGTTGAGGAGGCAGCGACATAGAATAATTACTGCTTGACTTTTGCACCTGACTTGGTGCTCAGTTTGCTGCATTATCCCCTGACGGGAAGTCCTTGCCCCCCTTTGCCTGCTCCCCGCCTGCCCTACCGGTACCGCACTCTGCCAAGTTTTGCCCCGTTGGTTCTTAAACCATCTATTATTGGAGGGCTTATGCTCATCGCATTCCCCCCTAGCCCTCCATTTGCCCTGCTCCCATCTCTCCCAGTGCCACCCAATCCTAAAAGTAACCGGGCTGCCTAGCTTAGCCCCCATTTCACTCCTTTTAACGTATATATTTAGTTTTTATTTCTTGAAGTTACTTTATTGGAGGGCTGCAGTCAGAGGTACTAGCTCTGCATGCGTGGCTCTCGTGTCCCTGCTGGCACAATGAGCTACCGTCGTTCTCTCTGGGATGCCTATGGTGCACTTGCACTCTTCCGCTAATTTTACTCCATTGTCCTTCCTGGTTTTCCTCCATACACCCCCTTCCCTGTCCCCCCTTTTTTGCCCTGCTCGCGTCCTCATTGCTCTCCCCGTACGCCCGTACGCCCACCACAACAGCCACCCACCACCGCAGCCACTGCTTTGCCTAGCTTCGCCCCCCTCGCTCCTTAACGTATCTATTTAGTATACTAGCTAGCTAGTGGTACCGTTCTCAAGGACCTCTTTCTCTGCACAAGATGACGTTTGGTTGGTTGATCATGGTGAAAGAGAGGCAAAGCAGCGTGATTTCTATTCTATCTAGTCCACAGCTGACAGAAGAAAACAACTCCCCTCGTGTGACGGCGTGACGGCTGCAAGAAGTATCATACGATAGCTCCATCGACGGATCTCCATTTTCTCATCCCAGAGCAAAATGTCAGCCCACAGTGCTGGCATCAGAGATCTTGAGGGACCTCATACAGAGCATGACTCTGAACCTGATGCAGAGAATGTCACAGCCACTCATGTTGTTATCCAAGACATGTCTCTGAGTGCCAACATCACTTCTCCAGAGCAGCTTCACGGTGATGGAGAGCCGAGCGATAGTGCCATAGCAGATGATGACAACAGTCAGCAACAGCAACAACCAGCTTCCTCTAGTAGGGATCTTGACAGCGCTACTACAGAAGCACTCCACCGTGCCACACAACAACTCTCCAGTCAATATGACTCTGCAAGAATGCAAACTACTCCTGATGAGCGCCAACATGCGTTGGCTGTCAAGCGTGCCATTGAAGGCACCCCGGATCTTGACAATTTATCAGACATGATGTATGCTCAGCTAGCAATACTTGGAGAGGGAAACATAGAATGGTCTGCAGATTCTGTATTGCACGGGAATGCACATGCATTTGAATTCGTGATGGTAGTATGATGTTACCATTGCTTCGGAGTCATCCTTGGGAGGGATTCTGTGCACAAGGAAATGATCAACTTCTGCGATCTTGACGGTTTGCCCGGGCAGTTTGGAGGTTGTACTGTTGGCAGATCTGTAGCCACTGTTGATGCTGGGAATTTTGGTCATCCCTTTTGTCGTCAGATTCGGACTCAGAGCTGTTGACGGATGCCATTTTCGATTGGGTTGAGGGAGGAAAAATGACGTCCACGATCAATCTGGTTTTGACTCTGGAATGGAATCTGGGATGGAGTCTGGGTTCGAGTCTGGGTTCGAGTCTGGGATGGAGTCTGGGATGGAGTCTGGGTTCGAGTCTGGGTTCGAGTCTGGGTACGAGATGGAGTTTGGGTGCCTTGGTTCGTGCCTGTGGAGGAGCTTCAGCGCGAAAATCTAGAGCCAAGGCAGATTTTGAAAGTCCTGAAGTCGGGGGTGTTAATTTCCTGAAGTGGGATTGGGGTGGGGGGTTAATTTCCTGAAGTGGGATTAAGTGGGACTGGTGGAAGACTTAGGGGTCCTGACTTCAGGATTTCAGGACTTCAGGAAATTGACCTTACTCGTCAAGTGCTCATTGTCAGATTTTCTTGGACCTCTAATGATGTAGAATGTGATGATTTCTTTGACAAAATCTGTCCTTCCTCAGGAACTCAGGTCAAAGTTTCGAGTGGGGTGTAAGTTCCCAGCTGGTAGGCTTGACAGGATGTACAATATACCAACTGAAGAAGTAGGTGTAGCCAGGCTTTGTCAGAAGTTGGAAGAACTGATCAGAAGGAGATTTGACAATGAAAGGAATTTTTCCTTGGAGGACGCCCCTATTGAGACAGCAGCGACATAGAATAAATGACTGAGCCGCTTTTGTTCCTGACATGGTGTTCTTTTTGTACTGTTCCCTGGCTGAAGTGAAGTCTTTTTCAGTACAGGATTGCAAACTGGGGATTAACAACTGGAATGGCAGTGAACGCTCCTGAAACGCACCTGACGTCTTGAACTGTGCTGTGCCCAATCTGCAGAAACGCAGAAGGAATTCTCGTTGCGGTTGGATCGGCTCACAGCACCATCACGGACGATGGTGGAAACACGACACTGATCCTAATAATAAATACTATTCCATTAGCAACCTGATAGGGCCTCCAAGATGTTCATCCATCAATAAAGAAGGCACAGTAGGAAACAGCAGCCAAAGCACCGAGCAGTTTGCCCTATGGTAGCTTTCTATTTCTTCTTCTTGTCCTTCTTTTTCTTCGACTTTTCTTCCTGTCCAAACATCATTCGAAACTTCTTTCGTTGGCGCTTGTTTTGTCGGATCTTTTCTCGCTTTGCTTCGTTCAATCGCCGCACAACCAAAGGATCTAACTTGGCGTCGGGGTTCAGCTCCAAGGTGCACTCAATGCTCTTGTCAAAACTCTTCACAGCTTCAGCATACTCGCCCATGTCTGACTGAGCGGAACCAAGGCGGAAGAATGCCTTTGCCTCCAAAGTCTTGGCCTCACGGTAGGTTTCTTCTGGCTCTTTGGACTTGAGTATCTCTGTCTTGATTTTCCTTTTTGCCGCTGTGGTACTAGCGCAAAGTCTCGCTACCTTGCCACTCTTCATGAACAGCATACAGACGTTGCCCTTTTTAGCGCAAAAGGGTTGCAGCTCCCGCAAGGCGTGTCGTGCTTGATTTTTGGCTTGTTCCAGCTGAGGGACTTCAGGTTGATGTTTTGCTTGTTTGAGCAACAACATGGACAAATTCAACCGAGTTGATACCAACACCTTCAGCAGAGGCGACCATTTAAGCATCAAAGGGGTCACAGTGTGGTCCGAGTCGATATCCAGCTCGAGCACTTTCATCGAAATCAGAGTCAGCTCGTCTTCGTATTTGCCTCCATACGTGGTGGCTGCCCTGTGCGACATGAATGCGATGGAACAGTAACGAATGGCTTTGTCGTATCTTTGAGCTGCAATATCTAGCTCTCCTTTTCGTAGCGCTTCGTTGCCTCCATCCTTCAGGACACGAGCCGTTTCATGCAGTATCCTGTAGGCGTTCTCACTGGCAGAGGTGGACGATGCCGCAATGTCAGGTCCTGATAAATCGCGACGCCAAACTCTCTCTCGTGGGCATTCCAGTTCGGTGTGGCTATCAGCGTCCGAATGAAGGTATCTGTCACGGAAGAAGTTCCCATACTCTTCCACATTGACTGACATTCCAGATGCATTGGGCGCGGGTGTCATCTCGGGGTCAAACGGAATCCAATCGGATGGATTGTCGGGAACGAGATCTGCAGGGTGTGGTGCTGCATGTGCACCCTTGTCGTTATCCTCCGCTTCCCCTCCCAGTTTTGCTGACGCCCCAATGATCCACGGAAGCTTGTGATTCCAGTGCGCTGACAGTCCCTGACGATCAGCTTGGTGACGCAGTCGAATCAAACTCACACGACGCATAAGCTCCTTCAAGTCACTTTCCACAGGGAGATCAGTTTCACGCCCTACATCACCTCCAATGGCGGCACGTATGCATTCGAACTGATTCCTCCGCAAGATATCCGGTAAATTGTGGAGATCGTTCCCTATACGAGAGCCGCCAGCGCGCAATGCGATGCGGCCAAAAGTGCCAGTGTTGCCCAGCTCCTTTCTGCTCAAGACTTGATCGGGAAGTACACTGTAGGAATGGTAAAGACTGTCCCTGTCTTCTTCATCATCTTCGTCATTATCCCTTGCTGCGTCGGCCTCGGCAAGCTCTTGTTCGATATGTGATATTTCCTGCTCGATGGTGTCCCAATTTCTCGCGAGAGAACTCATTTCGTATTGACTAGCACGGAATGCCCTCGACCGTCCACTCAACGAATCGTCCGTGTTCATGTCAACTGGTCCAGTTCCACGCCACAACTTCGCCGTCGAATCAATGCCGTACGTAATGAATACTGGTAGGCTTGGATGCGGAATTACACCGTTACAGGTGGAGTGATCAGCGTTCAACAGCGAGACCACAGCTCCGGTGGCTCGTTCGTAGATCCACGCATGCCCTGAGTCCGATCCAGTGCATATGTATTCATCATTGGGACCAGCATACTTGGCATTCTTCAAGAAAGTGAATCGATTCAGATGACCGCCGTAGGAGGCAAGCTCATTGAGGTAAACATCCTCCCCTGTGCGCGTTCGCTCTCTGCCACCAAGCAACGAAATGTTACCGTTCGTAGCCGCGACATCATCATCGTCCAAGCCAATTCCACCGATTTCTTCGAGGGTTGGCCCCGCTGCGCTTTTAGCATGCGGAAAGACAGGGAAAGTGTATATTTGATCGCTTTCATAGCTAACCAACAACTCTTGCTTGTCTTTGGATAAGTCAATGCCGCTTACAGACACTTCGACGTTCCCCTCCAAGCCTCTAGGCCGATACTGACAGACTATTCTAGCATTGTCAGAGGAAGAGTCCCCGCCAGTCATGCGAAGGTCGCAAAGAGCAACTTCTGCTCCGGTCCCCCCCACTGGTATTGGCGTAGCACAGCAGTTGCAGCTTGCTTGATGAGAACAAACAAACAATACAGAGTCCTGACGGCCTGAGATTCGAATCAAGTACTTACCAAAGACGTATGTTGAGTCCACTTCTTCCACAGAACCGGCGGAAGAGTATGTCCATACAGCACAAGCCTTACATCCAGTATTGCTGCCAAGGAGGGCTCTTCGTTCCTGCTGTCGCGGCGGCAAACGAACGTCAAACTTGCGCAGTCCCCTTTGGCTGCAGAGGAGCCCCACGTTTGTATTCAGAAAGTGGTGCGAAAAGCACAGCCCTGGACGCAGGCTGAACAATCCACTCATGATGTGATCGCCGTCATCATGGTACTCAGGGCTGATGATGATTGATGTGCTGATCGATTCTCCTCGGTTTGCTGCTTCGACATCCCCAAGTCTCAGGTATCCGTCCGCTCCGCAAGTGGCAACTTTCCCCGGTTGCTGCCATAATGGCGTCACATGAAACACATTGGACCTGTGCCCAGTGTGTAAGGTTGCCAGCGGCTGAACATTTCCGAACATTTTCCTCGCCTCCACTGGTTGTTGCTGATTACGATAGAATTCCCTCCATCGAGCCTTGTACCCACCGGCGTTGCCCTCGGTATCGATTGTTTCTGGTTCATGAGCAAAAGGGCAGTGTGTATTTCGGCCCCATGGGAGGGGATTAGTGTTCCCCATTGCGTATCGCACATCCCAAAATTTCACTTGTCTGTCATCTCCCGAGGTTGCCAGCTGGGTTGGACAGTCACTGGATTCGATGGCGTGCAGTCCTTGCGTGTCTTCCAAACAAAAGTCGAAGTTGGCATTGTAGGACGTACTGTAGTGGTCACTGGATACCGTGGAGAGTCGCCAGCCCGAATCCAACCACGCAGCTGTATTGATACATCCGCCATGGCGAAGGGACGGAGTCATTTCTTTCCTAGCGTTGTGGTTGCCTCGCCTCGTTGGCGATTGTGAGCGCCGAATGATTCGGCGGCGGATGATGACACGCCCAACGTCATCGTCATCATCGCTATCGTCCTCGTCGTCGCTTTCCTCGTCGTCATCGTCCTCTTCTCCTTCGCCCCCTTCCTGCGCCTGAGCAAACCACTCTGCCGCCATTTCACGAAACTCTGCCATTTCTTCATCGTCCTCTTCTTCGTCGTCTTCCTCATCTTCCGTACTTTCCGCCATGCGCTCATTGGGGTGAGACTCGTTTGCATCTATACCCTCGTCTTCTTCTTCCTCTTCGTTGGATTCCTCGCCGCTAAACTGCATCCGATGTTCCTCCGCTTGATTCACTTCCAAAAAGAAGCGTTCTCTATCGGTCAGCTCAGGGAGATCTTCTTCTTCGCCCTCCTCACCTTCTGCTTCGTCTTCTTCCTTGTCTCCTTCTTGTTCAGGATCCACATCGCTGTATCCCGCCATTTCTTCGTCGCTCGATGCCTTGGCCTTTTTGCAACTGTCTTCCTTCTTGTCGACAGTCTCCTCTTCAGATCGATTGTCGTCCTCTTCGTCACTGTCGTCGTCATCGTCATCGTCATCTGTAGTGTCCAGATTCATGTTGGGAGTGGCTGAAGTGGTTGTCGTCGCAGCGTCCATACGGTGAGCACCTAAAGAATCAAACGTTGTCGTCGTCGCCGTCTCGGCCGTTGTCTCTGCATCTTCTTCAGGCATTTTCATTCGGTCACTCAAGGTTCTCTTAGGACTAGTAGTGGAAGATCTGGAAGACCCCGAGGAGGATCCGGATCGTGAATGTGTGCGGCTAGGTTCAGGAGGTTCCTCCTCCTGCTCCTCATTGGCATTGTCGTCCGGATCAATTTCAGCTTCATCTTCTTCTTCTTCTGATGATGATGACGAGCTGCTTTCCGAAGAACTACCGCTGGAGGATTCATCTTCCCCATTCCCGAGTCGAGCGGCAGCCGGTGGTGATGGTTCATGCACTACGGACAAGTCCACAATGGCTGCGGGTGTTCCTGGTCCCACCGTGAGAATCATATTTTGCAGCCTCGAAGTGTTCCTGTGTGGTGGTGGTCAAGGATAAGGTGCATCCAGGGCAATCAAAGGAATGTTGGCCATGTGATTTTAAAACCAGAAATCACAAAAAGAGCAAGGCGAAAGGGGGGAAGGCAGATGGATCCATTAGCAATACATACGGAACCCCACCTTAGTAGCAACGTTCTATGCGGATTCGATTCGATTTGACAGAACAGCACTTACCAGGCAATTTTGGAAGCAAGAGTATCGGTCGTGATGGCCCTGGGCCGTGCAAATGGTGGTAAGGACAACGGAGAGACGCCAAAACCTTGACGGAGCGCCAGTAGTTCGGGCACGCTGAGCCGATGGGGCCGTTGAAGTTTTCTGTCTGGCTTTAGAAACGGAACTTGATAATCGTCATGCTCGACACAAGATTCCGTGTCTTGAGGAGGAGGATCCGCGCGGCTTGCCTCCGCCATCTCCATGGTTTCGGCTATTTTCGGTGCTCTTCTTCGCTACCAGTACCTACCAGGTAGTCTAGTTCCAGCGAGAGAATCAGCCAGCAGATCGATGGCGGACAAGGCAGAAAAAGATACCCCAATCAGCTCCACCAGCGCTTCTGAGCAGGACAAACAACGGCCACTCCAGACTTTTTAAACCACAAGTCTGAGGGCAAAGCAACCAAAGATCGAAGCAATCAAATCGACAATTCCACCGGTTTGTCGTGCTTCTTCGAAAGAAAGAACATTCGGAAGAAATAATGAGAAACCTGTGACTTCCGAAAAGGGTAGCAAGGGATGAAAGGAAAGGCAAGATGATCTGCTTCCATTCCACTTACAGTACCTTCCAAACTAACTATCTGTCTGCCCACTTTTGATCTTCTTTCTTTCCGGATGATGATGATGGCAGCTTGGCGAAAGAATGATTTGCTACGAGAGTTAGTTACTAGCTAGCTTGGTCTTCAACTAACTTGTGTTCTATTCGTTAGCCATCGCTTGTACTTGTAGCGGGGGCAGCTGACGCCAAAGCCGTGATATTTTGCCTGTACTGAAATCAGCACAGTGATTTACAAAGACATGTTGATGAGTACCGTTTGGATACTGTGTAGAATCCTACACAACCCAGTAGTGACGTACGACAGTGCAGTTTTACCCGATAGCTCCTCCTGTCTCCTGTCAAGCCCATGCGAACCTTCCCTTCAGGCAAGATCCAAGCATCTGCCTGCAACTCTATCCCTTTCAGAGCGATGTCGCTTTCCTGCACCCAGCCACAGCACTGGTACAGGTGGTACTAGTACTACCGCCTGGCCATTGATGATGTCCACCAACCCTGTAAGCTTTGAAGGGAGACGAAGAGTCAAGCAGCCAGAAGTTACCCCCGCCAATGTTTTGTCTATGGCTAGTACATGTAGCTATTTGACTCCACCGTGCCACACAGCAAGAACACTCCAGTCAAGAGGACTCAGCAAGGATGCAAATCACTCCTGAGGAGCCCTAAACAGGCTTTACTTGTCAACTCTGCTGCCATTGAAAGCACCCCAGATCTTGACAATTTGTCAGACGAGCGAAGCACTGACAAACCAAAGACGTTGACTTCACTTGATTGCTCAATGCAGGGAACCGCCGACCAACCAGGGAGACAGGTGAAGCAGATCAGAAGGCGAGATCCGACATGATCTATGCTCAGCTGACTATTTTTTTGACAGGGCGACCTTGAATGGGCGATGCAAAATCCAACTGAAGCTGTGGCCAGTGGCCAGGCTTTGCCAGAAAGTGGAAGAACTCTTCAGAAGGAGATTTGACAATGAAAGGAATCTTTCCTTGGAGGATGCCCCCGTTGAGACAGGAGCAACTCAGAATACAATAGGTGACGCGAAGCTAGCTAGTTGGCAATGTCTCTGGCTAGCCAGTCAGGGCGTGGCTGATCTTTCGCTGGGAAATGTTAAGCGACTTCTATTCGCCACAGGTAGGAGCATCAATCCGTTCGCTGTCATGTTTCCTACCACAATAACAGGCCAGCAAATCTCCCAAGATTGAGCGATTTCATACCGCAAGGGAGAGGGTGTATGTGTGGCTCGTGGTGGCACGGAACATGCAGTAGTACCATTTCATTTCGCTTCGTCTTGACAGCGCTGGTCGCAGCCTTTCGGGAGCCACCGCTGTAGTGCCTGCATACCAAGGTTAGTGGACGAATGGATATGGACTGCTAGTAGTGCTACTCCCAGAATCGCCTCCGAAATGTGCCGCGTTCCGGTTTTTGTTCGGCGAGGTAAGTGCTTGGTGTTGACTTGACGAGAGCCCAATTGTTGACCATTCAGCGCCACCACTGAGTTTCTAAGCTACCATCACTATCGGAGTATGATCTAGACTAGCTATATGCATGTATTGCTCACTAGCTACTATGGCTTACTACATAGCTAGCTAGCTCGTGATCCCTGTTCGAGGACGGAACACGTCCAGTCGTCACCTTTCCTTCACTAACCTTGTGCTCTTCTTCATTAACCTCTTTTTCTTCCCTTCTGCTGTTACTGTTGTTGGCTTGTCTGTTATTCTTGTATCCCAGTCGTTTTCTTGTTTGGTATCATATCCATGATATCCTCGCTACGCTACGGTACAGCACTGTGGTACTGCCTCACTCAAGACTCCACCACCAACAATCGCCGCTCAAAGAGGTATATTTCGTTGACCGCCATGAGAATGGGCATGGCGAGGTAGAGCGCCGTGACTACTAGCACCACCAAGAGAATGGCAATGAGAATCGGAATGGTGACGCCTGGAAAGATGTGAAAGTCCAAGATCAAGTCAATGACACTGCAAAAGAGTATCACCGAGTAGACCAAGAGGAGGATACCCGCCCAACAGAATCCACAGCGTTCGGTTGTTGTTGCAGTCGAAGTAGTAGTAGATGATGATCCCCATTCGACGTCATCATGGTGAGGGACCATCTTGTTATTGTTGTTGTTGTCGCCCAACAGAACGTGCGAGAGCTGCATGCCCAAAATCATGGAGTAGTCCTTGGTTCCGCCGCCGTTCGCGTCGCTACCACCACCATGAGAGAGTAACAACCCTTCAGTGAGGGTGTCGGGCTCTTCAAATTCCATTTCGTTCAGCCAATAACTCATTATCTTGTGGTGGTTGTTGTTGTTGTTGATGATGATCTTGTTGATAGTTAGTTTGGCTTCCAAGATATTTCGCACAAACAAATTATGAGAGGCAGGCAAAAGGGTTCGGAGGTGGTGGAACTTTGCACCGTCATCCGCGGGAGTTGAAATTTCGTCTCCTGGAGACGATTTGCTTTAGGGGTAATGGTACCGATGGGGGCAGAGGTTTGAATTATACCCGGCGCGCATTACTTAGAAGGCCCTGTAGAAGTCTACGTATTCGACTAGTATTGTATTGACGGGATACAGTCAACGCATGTACATGCACATGAAAGTCGCCTGCGTTCTTCACATTTTAAAAGTTGGCTCCTATTTTTCGGGGTCGCCTGTGATTTGATTGACGCTTGATTTTTTTCAATGACTGACATTAATACGTACGAGGTGCAATGCGATCTCAGAAAGGTAGTTGTAGTATAAAAGTTTTTATATATAGATTAATTACCCTATATCCCTACCGTTTATACTTATAACAAGAACCCGTCTTCTCGCTGGAACAATTTCATCGTATTGATCTTCTCCTAGGACAGAAAGCCCAATAGTATCCTTAAATCTTGCAAGCATGTCTCTATTCGTTGTGGCATGGCAAAGTTCTTTGATCCCAATCCAGCTTCTTCAATAAAACAAACCACTCATGTTCGCACCCTTGATAACACACGTAAGCCCAGTTTTGACAGTATCGCCATGAATGTACCAATAACCACACTGCAGTATATCCCTGTAATTTGTGTCCAGTTGTGCAGAATTGCTGATAATCGGGAACTGCTTACCCTTCATCTTGGTGTGAACAACTTCTCCGTCATAAAACCATCTGGTGCTGAAAGTGTAGTCTTGCTCCGTTACATAAAAGTACGTGGCATAATAGTTCCATTTCATGTTCCACAGGATAGATTTGACTTGACCTGAGAAAAAAGCCCGAATCTTGCAGCCGTTGTCGAGTGAATAATATGGGGGTGCAACCATCCCTACATTCACCTTTCTCACAAAAGCCGAGATCCATTGGCTTCTCCATTCGGAACATTCGTGTTCTCTGTAAACATTACAGGACAGCCCTTATATAACTTCAAAGCAGGATCAACACGTTTTCGTGAGTCCGAACCGGGTTTTAACGAGTCTTCTCCACATGTTGAAAAGAAGTGCTTTAAAACCGAATTGCTCTTAACAGGAACCAGTGTCCCTCTTGATTGGCCATTTGAAGATCGTCCATGAAAATGAGTACTGCATCCATCAGCACGGAATCATCAGCAGTTTTGTTCTTCCCGCAAAATTCTTCGAAGATAGCTGAGTTAATGCATCTCGATCTCGATTCAGAATAAGTAGCAACTTGAATGTTCTCTGGTGGAACATGGTTGGGCCAACCACGCAGGCGTCATTGATGGTCTCAATATCTTCTTCTGTTGGTCGCCCTTCACGGAATCTTAAACAGCGTTGCCCCCATTCAGGATCGTCTTTGAAGCGGTGCATTCCATCTAACTCAATAAATGAATTCAGAGAGTCATGAAATTCAGGAATGGTGTGCTGAAGATTGTAAATTGGGGGGCGTCCCACTGGTTCAAAGTTGAGAGTAGTCCCCGCGAACACCAAGTTAAGTCCCCCAAATGGTTGGTATTCGTCTTGCATCAAGGTCTTGGTGTAGTGGAATATCTTCACTAAGTCAAGTTCCCCCGCGAATGAAATCGTCGTGCGTCACTCCATTCTCTACCAAGTTCTTCGCCAACTTTCCCGAGTTCTGTTCAATCCCACAGCTGAATGCGTTGTTTCCCCATGCAGTATTGTAGCAGCAACCCCCGACATAGCATGACAACAATGGTTCGGTCTTAAATGGATGATCATCAAACCGCAGAATTCTTTGCCATAGGCCATGACTAAGTCAATTACGTAGTCTTCCCACTTCCTCCAGCCCATGTAGAAGAAGAATAGTTGGGTGCCACGACTTCCCTTCAAAATCAAAGGTTTTTACGAGAAAGTCGGACTTTTGCCTTCAACCCCATACCGGGACTCCATCCTCTAAGTCCACCTTTTCAGCTTCCTCATAAAATGTCAACAAGAAGGCTGACAATGATACACTCGAAAGCCCTTCTCTGTTTGTCGTCCAATTGGCAGCCGTTGCCCATCACTTATACTTCTAACGCTTCCATTCGCCTGCGACTTCAACCTGCGGATTGTACTTAAAACATTTGCCCTTTGGATGACTCCCGTTTGTTAAGTAGAACTTAATGATCTTGTGATATCGAGTGTAGGCGTTTCACTTTGCTTCTCTTTGTAGTGCCAGCGTGTGAAAGTCAGCACTTATGGTACAAATTCGTCTTCTCTAACGAATTCTCAGGAATGGTAACTCACGTTGTATCCTGCGTTTTCGCTTCCATTGTGACGTAAGCCGTAAAACTAAGACCATCAAAGTGCTTGCCAGAAAGTCCCGTTTGAATCTGTTTGCCCTGCCTCTCAAGATCACGTATCAAATCTCGTAACCTTTTGAATCAGATCATCTTCCTCATGTTCGTGCTCTTCATCAGATTCGTTTTCGTACATGTTCTCCTCCCATGTTTCCGGTCTATAGGGCTTGGTAACTCGTGAAGATCATCCTCTTTCACCTTATACCTCGGGTTGTTGAAAGCGGTGTCTTGAATGTTCTGGATGAATGACAGGTTCTTTCTGAGAAGACGACGGTTTCTTCGTTATTCGCTTTTCTCAGAACATGTATTCATACACTTCACGAGTCTTTCAGCGAAAGCATAGTTGTTCTGGGGTACGGACTTCTTTAAATCACCCAAACATCGATGCGGCAAGTACAAACCCAAATAGCACTTCCGCATAGTTCTCATTGCCTGGTTCAGTTCGCCAGTAGGACAGTCAGGATATTCGCGT